AAACAAGTCAGTCAGCAGCAATGAAGGCACCAATCAGCTTTGCAGCCTTTGTAAATCTGGGCTCTTACCAGAAGGTGTCGCTACAGTTGCGCCAGGGCATCCCCCCCTCAATCAGGACTGCTTTTCAAAGCAAGGCTTCCTGCTCAGGCGATTCTAATTCGTAGCAGGTTGGCATTCAAGCCAACCACCGTAACTGCCTTGGAAGTGAGAAATCACTCACTCCCCTAAAGAGTGACATCCCTGGGTTTTCTGTGTGTAGGGGTGTTTCAGCTGCATGTATGCGTACGCATCACACACACACACACACACACACACACACAGTGCCGACAACGGTCAGGTGTCAGGTTCCTGCAACCTGGAACATGGACAGTTGTGAGCCACCATGTGGGGGCTTGAACTCAAACCCAGTCAGTCTTCTTGAAGAGGAGTCAGTGCTCTTAACTGATAGTCGTTTCTCCGTTCCTGTGATAGTCTTTCTTTATTACATGTGGTGTGTACGTGCACGCGCACGCACACACAAGTGCCCTCGAGCACACATGCCCATCGTGCTCACATAGAGGTCAGAGGTCAACGTGGTAGCAATCAGTGCTCTCCTTTCACAGATGGCAGTCCCAGGGATTGAATTAGGTCACAGGCTTCATGGCAGGTGTGCCCATGGAACCATCTTGCCCTAGAATCTGATATTTTTAGAGGATGGTCCTTTGAGAGAAGAGAAAAAAAAAAGGTACCTGATGTCTCCCAGGCCGCCATCAGTTTACAGAGGCATCCACATCTACCTTCCTCCCCGGGCACACGAGAATGGTGTAAAAGTAAACGGCAGTCACCCCGTAGAGCCTGTATTGATGGGTTTGTTTTTCAAGACAGCATCTCTCTGTGTAACAGTCCTGGCTGTTCTGTTACTCTGTAGACCAGGCTGGCCTCAAACTCACAGAGATCCACTTGCCTCTGCCTCCTGAGTGCTGGGCACTAAAGGTGTGGTACACTATCTCCCAGTTGCTGTGTTTGTTTTTGTTGAAAAAAAAAAACAAACTTTAATTTCAAGACAATGTAGTGGCACACACTGATTTCAGCATCCAGTAGGTGTAAGCAGGAGATTTGTCAGTTTGAGGCTAGCCTGGGCTACATGGAAAGGAAAGGTAACCAAAATAACAACAACAGCAATAATAGTGAGAAAAAAATTGGTGCACTAATTTGACAGGTGTTTATTGCTAGCTAGGATACACAGCAGCCATGCTTCATAAACAGTAAATTAAATCTGCTTCTCTGATACATGGATTTTAAAAAGCATTTTGGACATATGAAAAATATTACACATTACATTCAATTTACCACAGACTATTTTATGCTGACTTTTATACATTGAATGTTAAATATTTCACATTTAATTTTATGTCAGTATTTAGGGAAGTTTTCCCTTCACTTTAGAGGCACGTGAGTAAGAAGATGAAGGCCACCGAACTGCAGCATGTTTGACTCTCTGTTTCTAAAGGAGCCAAACAGAAAATGGGCAGCTAAGTGAGGACTGGTGACCAATGACCATGGTGGCAGTAGATTTCCCACCTGTACCCCCTCACGTTTATGCTTCTTTTGTTGTTTTTTATACCGAGAATAACCTACTGTTCAAGCAAAAGTTAAAAAGCTAATCCCTAGCTCTTTGGGTCCGGGGTATTGCTTGTTGTGAACATTGTAAGCTAAATGAGTTAGATGAGAACACGCGGCACTTCACTTCCAATTGGGAAACGCCTGGGAATCTTCTAGCCTGTGACAAGTCTGGGAAGTCCTTACCATGTTCCCAGAGCTGACGGTAGTTTTGAGCTAAGTAAGTATGGGGGTGCATACTCCAACAAAAAAAGAACTTAAGCCTTTAGCTAAAGCCGTTTCTTCCTGTGACAGCTCCCGGAGGCTTTTGTCACACAGGGTCACACGTAGCTTACAATTGAACTCTACTCTGTACCCACACACAGGATTTGGGCAGTGATAGAGACTAAATTTAGGGCTTCCTGTATGCTAGGCAAATTCTTCTATCAAATCAACTGAGCTCCATCCATCCGTTTTCCTTTTAAAGAAGAATTTGAACAAATTATAAAGGAGGTTAACTTAATTAGCATAATAAATTATCCTAATACCTACCAGCTTTAAATATACGTATTTATGACTTGACCGCTTCTTTTGGTCTTTAACAGGAAGTGGGACTTCCATGGCTACAGTCACGCAGGTGGCTGGAGGCTGCAGGACCTGCTTCCCAGCTGACTCGCTATTTTGGATTCCCTGGTTCCCTCTTAGGCTACCCGAAAGCCCTCACGGCATAAGATGGCTTCCCCACAGCTGTAAGTGATTGTAGGGGGAACCCAAGAAAGAAGTCAGTCTTTAATGCCCTGGCACCAGAAATGGCAGCATCCGTTCTCTGCTCTCCAAGGCCCAGCCTCTGCAATGTAAAAACCTGCACCACGCACTGGTGTGCCTGCCAGGATGGAGGAAAATAGACAGACAAAAGCAACTCTTCAGACACTAAAATCGTTACCGAATGTTCCAGTAATAAAAACAGGGGGGAGGGCAACTCGGTTGTAAATCTATGTATAGATATATAAGATGATAAAAGCCAAAAAAAATACATAGAGAAAGCTTTATAACCTTTGCAACGTTTCCACACTGAAAAGTACCTGAATGATAAACACCATATACTTGTGGAAGGAAGGAAGGAAGGAAGGAAGGAAGGAAGGAAGGAAGGAAGGAAGGAAGGAAATACTGTTTCCTTTTCTGCAAGGGTGTTGATATCTTATATGGGTTGAATATGGGCAGGACAGGCTGTACAAATGAAAAAAAAGCACAGCTCACTGTTGCGTCAGTTTCTTCTGATGCTTGCTGCTTGTGAGTGATGGAGCAGAGCGAGGACCCTGCATTTGCCTGCCTTGAGCTAGAAGATGGCCCTCTAATTAGTTGTTTAGCTAATTAGTAAGCCGCTTAACACTTGGTACTTGCTTTGCTTGATAGTAAAATAAGGACCTAGAGAAGATCCATTCTTAAACAGACCAGAAAGCAGCATGCCTTGCTGGAGCCCCCTGGGGGGCTGGGAGTCTGCCTCAGTCTGCCTAGGCAGGCCTTAGGTTTGCTTTCCTTAACAAGTTCTGAGGTGCTGCTGGACTCTGCTCTCTGTGTGTTCAGTGCCTCCGAGATCTAACCTTTTGCAGACCTTCAGAGGCCCTTCCGGCTTCAGACAAGGAAATCAGAGATGAGGTAGTAAGAGGGCTTGTCCCCGCCCCCCTCCCCAGACAGAGAGAAGGGGGGTAGAGAGAGAAGGGGTTGTCATATAATTCAGCCTGTCTTTAAACTCACTGTCCCTCTGAGCTGCCTCCAGAGGGTGGGCATTCTGGTACTCCAGCCTGTGCACCAGACCTGATTTTGACTCTGTTTTTGATTGCCGTACAACATAGCTCATAGCTTGGCAGGAAGTTGGTGTTCAGTAAAATGTGTGTAAATGAGCAGATGTGAATGAAAAATTCCTTTCCGAAAGGTTGGACATTGGTTTATCCTAGCATGTCCCTGTACCTGCTTGAAAGCATTGGGACCACAGCCAGACAGCTGCTTAGTGTTCGGATTGAGGGGGGCACTGGGTACAGCATTCCTGTCTGCATTTGAACACATTACAATGTTTCCATTGTGCATTTGTAATATAACCCCAACACTTTTATGTTATGTGTTTCCACCTGGTTCTGTACCTTTGTCATCAGCTGAGGTCCTCAGTTTACCTCCTATACCCTAGAGAGCAGGTATCACTGGCTTGGTCTCTAGCTCTCCAGCTTTGGCCTGCCAGGTGCAGATGGTTTCTGATATAGAAACCTCTGCCTTAGGATTCGCCGTGCTAACAGCTTCCCAAATAATGCTACTGCTTCTGGTCTAGTGACAATACACTGAGAAGCAGTTAGCTGTTTCCTAACCCTTTATGAAAAACCACATTGAGGCAACCCTGTCTCCCAAGAAAGAGACCTGGATTTGAACAGCTCAAAGTCTATTGCTGCTGGCAAGATGGCTCCTGGTAAAGGCACTTGCCACTAGAGCCTAAATTCATCACCATGATAGAAGAGAACCAACTATTCTCTGACCTCCACACTCAAATTACTGAAACACAGAGAGAGAGAGAGAGAGAGACAGAGAGAGACAGAGACAGAGAGAGGAGGGAGAGGGGGAATAGGAAACAATAAATTTTAATTGCTTTAAAGAATATTTCTATAGCTTCTAATTTCCTAAACTCTCTCTCTCTCTATATATATATATATATATATGTATATATATATATATATATATATATATATATATATATATGTGGCTTTGCTGAAGATAGGCCCAGATGGGCAGCATCAGTAACACCTAGAAGCTAGTCAAGAACTGCAGCCTGCCAGCATCCACCCCAGACATCCCAGCCAGCCTGTTACAGGCCCTCCTTGATTCTAAGGCATGATTGTCTCGGATGTCAACCTATCTTTGACACATCCCTAAACAGACAGAAGAGCAAGGGACAATCAGGGCAGAGGTAGGCTCAATCATTGGAGCAAGGTAAGGGCCTAGGGAGATGGCATATTTCTCTTTCTGGAAGGCTGATTAAAAACCAAGGACAGAGTGAAGGAGAAAGACAGGGCAAAACAAGAAATGTCTCTGAGGACAAGGTGACCTGGCATCTTTTAGCAGCTCTCACCTGACGTCAGATGGTAGACGTCAGTGTCCTGTGACTCAGCCTGAGCTGTACAAATAGATGCTATGAGCTCACCTCAACTGTGTGGGGACACCTTCCAAAGCTCAATCTTCTCAACTGTTTAGTTCTTATTCGGCAACAAGGCAATATACGCTGCTGCTGCTGCTGCTGCTGCTGCTGCTGCTGCTGCTGCTTCTTCTTCTTCTTCTTCTTCTTCTTCTTCTTCTTCTTCTTCTTCTTCTTCTTCTTCTCCTCCTCCTCCTCCTCCTCCTCCTCCTCCTCCTCCTCCTCCTCCTCCTTCTTCTTCTTCTTTTTCTTCTTCTTCTCCTTCTAATTCTCATTCTCCTTCTCCTTCTTCTTCTTCTTCTTCTTCTCCTCCTTCTTCTTCTGTCCGTCCAGTGGACTCAACCATCACTCACAACAGCAGGTTTTTAAAATGCAGTGATTGTTTGAATATCTACATGTTCTAGATGACAACAGAGAGGAACATAAGTGAAGGACAGATGATTTTTATATGGATTCAAACAGGGGCTGAGGTGGGGAAGCATAGTCTACATGGATTACAAAACCTTCTGCAGGGAGTGGGGAGACAAAGCCACCTCATTTGGTAAAGTGCCACTCTCACGAGCCTGAGGATTTGAGACCTGATCCCCAGCACCCACTTAAAAACCAGGTGTGGCAGCATACACGGTGACCCCAGCAAGGAAGTCATGTAGACAGGCAGACGCCTTGGGCTAGCTGGCCAGCCAGTCTAGGCAACACAGCTACAAGGCTAGTGAGAGACTGCCTCAAAAAGCAAGGTGGAAGGAAGAAATACACCCAACACCAACCTCTAGACTCCACACGCGTAAACACATGTACACATACGTGTGCACACACACACACACACAAGGCATGAAGAAATAGAAAGAAGGAAAAATGGAAAAATCAGAGATTCGGGCCAGTGAGAGGGCCCAGTGGGCAGAGCACTCGCCTCGAATGTCTGACAGCCTGAGTTCAGTCACCAGAAGCCACATAAAGGTGGGAAGAGATAACGGATTCCACAACGTCGCTCTCTGACCTCCCCATACGTGCCATGACGTGTGCAAATACACAGTAAGAGTAAATAAGAATCTTTTATATTTATTTTTCACATTCCAATCCCAGTTCCCCTTCCCTCCTCTCCTTCTACTCTCCCCTCCTTCCCTCATCCCATCTCCCAATTACTCATCAGAGAGGGTAAGGCCTCCTCTAGGGTGTCAACTAAGTCTATCCTATCACCCCATTAAGGCAGGACCAAGGAACACCCTCCCGCATCTAAGCTGAACAAGGTGTCTCTCCATGCAGAATAGACTCCACAAAGTTGGTTTATGCATTATAGTTAGATCTTGGTCCTGCTGTCAGTAGCTTCATATACTGCCCAAGCCGCACCATTGTCACCTGTATTCAGAGGTCCTAGTTCAGTCCCATGTCGGTTCCCCAGTTAACAGTGTGCAGTCAGTTCACTAGCTCGGGTCAGTTGATTCTGTGGGTTTCCCCATCATGGTCTTGACTCCTTTGTTCATATTATCTCTCCTCCCTCACTTTGATTGTACTCCAGGAGCTTGGACCAATGGTTAGTTATAGATCTCTGCATCTGCTTCCATCTGTTTCTGGAAGAAGGATCTAGCTTCTCTGGTGTCAGGGGCCTCCAGCCATCAGTCAGCTAGGCTGTATCACATACTCATAGAGAAGACGTGACACTAGACCACCCTGCCACCTCTTCTGACATAAAGCAAATTCCTGCTGCAGCTTATCTGTCAGTTAAAGATTAGCTTAATTGGAAAACTACAACATCCTCAGGAGATAGGCCTGAGCAATAGTAAATTGTAATAGATAGGATCGGACCCTGCTGTCAGGTTAGCAAACAACATAGGACTTCCTACCCCTGACCTCTTGCCCCGTAGATTAGGTTGCCAGGCATCACAGCAGACCACCTCTCCCACTGACATCTTGCCCCTGCAGCTGCAAGTACACCTTCCTCCCTTCCCCTCCTCACTTCTCCTATATAAATCCCTTTGTGATGAATAAAGACGTCACCTTGATCAGACTCCTGCCTTGGCATCCATTCTCGTATCCCCCTGTCCTCCATCTTTCTCCTATCTCCCTGTCCTCCATCTTTCTCCTAGGTGTCTACCAGACCCACGTTGAATGTCCTACGGGTCAGGGCACTCTGGGTTGTGGGTTGTAGGCTGGTTATATCGTCTTTATGTCTGGTACTCACTTGGAGTAAGGACATACTGTTGGTATCCAGGCATTATGATGACCCTGCCCCTGACAACTGGCAGGGTACGCATACAGGCATTCAGGCAGATGCTCAGAGGCAGATGCTTAGATGGCTCAGAGGGCCCTGTGCTGCGTGGCTACGTCATGTGTTACATGGACGCGTAAGGACTCTGTGCGCATGTGCAAGCTCCCCCTTTTAAGCGAGCGCCTCCCATCTCCTCCCTCTTCGATCCCTGTCTCTCTTCTGTTTCTATTCCATCTTCCATCTCTACCCTCTTTGTTTCCTTTTCCCAATAAACCCCACGTCGGTTTGTTGTGTTTTGTGGTTCGTGTTTCATCCCCTACAGCCACAACTGAAGCAAAACAACATTTCGGTGCCAAGACTCACTCAGGCTCTCTCCGTAATTTCTCCCGCCGCTGCAGCTGGTAACGGGCATCTGGAGACACTCAGAGACCCTGATCGGGAAACCAAAAGCCCACTTTTCCATCTACCCATCTGCTGGGACCCCCGCACAACACAGGCTATGATTTGGTAAGGTACCCCTTCTCCTGGTCAATGTAAATGTTTCCTTGGACCCGAAGGAATGACCGTTGATTTTCCAGCACCCTTCTGGTGTTCTTGGAAGCGAGGGAGCCCCCAGCCTACAAGGCTACAACGGATTCCTCTCGCTGACTATCACTTCCTGTAAACTCCCCATGGGCAAGGTCTAGCACCAACCTCATTGAGTGGTGCATTCGACTGTGGGCTTTCCCGCCTTTGGTGGTTACGGATTACTGCGTACCCTTGGACTATGGAGTGCACCCTCGCTGGTCAGGGATTACCACCTACTCTTGGACTATGGAATGCACCTTCACTGGTTACCGATTACTGCCTACTCTTGGACTCCTTTTGAGCTGATGACCTGTAAGAGTGACCTGTGCCATTTTCGGACTCACCCATGGGAAGTAAATGGACAAAATAAGCCCATCCACTCCACTGGGAGATAATAAGTCAGACAGGCCGCTTAACAGCTCCCTAGATCCCGATATTTTAGGGGACCTTTCCAATTATTGCTAGTGGACAGTTAAATGGAAGGAGTTACCATATTCAAGTTTTCTTCTACCTCTCTGCTAAACATTCTCTTTCCTTAAACTTGTCTGTTTCCCTCCTCCCGGCATGCAAAAACTCTCTTACCTGCCACACGGCATCCTGCCGCCTCCCGCAAGCCTTTCTGAGGGCGGGATCTTCCTGGCCAGGGAACACTCAGTTTCACTAGACATCTTACGGTCTGTTCAAATGTTTCACTCTTCTGTTTGACCTATCTCTTACGCTACTCTTCTATCGCGTTTCTTCTCCGTGCGGACGCCAGCGACTCACAGGTGCCTGGCCTGAGACAGCGTCTGCTCAGGATGCTCTGAGAGAGAGTTTTTCTGCCGGGTGGGAACCTGTTTATGGCAGCCCCACCCTGACCAAGTGGCCTAGATTCACCCTTCGCTGCACCAGCCGCCAAGGCAGAGGCACAGTCTAGCCAGCTGCTGCCAGGCATAATTCATTTACTTTTGCCGTTTATTTCATTGTCTCTGTTGTGCCTTTCCAGGACCTGGTAGGGCACACATTTCACACAAAACCCTGCGTGCTCCATCTGCAGCAGATCTGCTTTCTTGTCACTGGCAGTTTTAAGTCTCCTCTGTATCTTTAAATGTCCTGTCTGTTGGCTACAATGTACAAATCAGAGACCACAGGGTTCTTTCTTCTTACTTTTACCCAGTCCTGTTCAGCATCTCTGTATGTATGAGTACATGTTGCTGCTGTCTAAAAATGTAAGGTAACTCTATATGCAACTTAAATTTGTTATTGTTAACTCTCAAATATTTTACCAAGTTAAGGCCAGTTACAGTCAGACTGGAGGGCTCTGAGTAAAACATTCATCCCTCCACAGCCTCTCAGCTTCAGTCCAGACAGATCCTGCTCTAATGTCATTATAGCCATAATAAGTACAGATTAATTCATTACAGGGATAAAGCCTTACCTAGCCACCTACGTGCTTAAGGCAAGTAACTAAAGACCAATTTTGTCTGCTGAGATATACTAAACAGATGCTCAGAGATCTAGAGAATATGGCATTTAAAAATGTTTTATTAAAAAGCTTTTCTAACAGAGACAGGCCAGCTACTGGCACTACCCATTTCCTCCAAGAACACCAGACACTGAAGAAACTCCTTCTACAAAAATGGTAACACTAGCCTTTCAGCTCAACTGCTGCAAAGGATTCTTTGGATTGTGGACAAGAGGACAGAGGAATCGACTTTCTCCACATTGCTTGGGCCAACAGTAGACAAGTCTTCCTACAGCTCCTAATCCATGGGTCTCACACTATCAACAGAAGGCAGATGTCCTTAAAGCCTCTGCCCTCAACAACTACAAAGGACTCTGGAGGTGGCTGTCCTTGCAGCCAGCTAGTAAGTCTCTGTTACTCTCTAATAATTAATTCAGGTAAAATTTTATCCTTCTCGAGAACTCTGATGAAGTTTGACAGCTGGTAGGTTTCAGTATAACTTCTTACCATTCCTTTGTTTTGAAAGGTATTTTAAGGTATAAAGTTCACACAAGAACATAAAAGCTTAAGATGTAAGAATCTAAAAATGTTTTAAGGTACCTAACAAAGTAACTTAAGATAAACAAATGCAAGTTATCAGATGTAAAGAGCTGCGAAGTGCCGCACCCTTAAGATGGTGCTGGCTTCCGCCTTCTGCTATCCCGACAGCAGGTGCTCTCTATGATAAACACCTGTATTTGGTTAAGGCTGGATATCAGGCTTGCTTCCACGTACGTGGACCTATCTGCATGTTCCACGTGGCATACTGGCGTTGGCTGCCCAAGGGCTTTTAAGCCGTGGGTTGGGGCTCCCTGGTGCTCTCCAGAAAAAGAAGATTGTTCAAAGGTTCCTGAATAAACTGCTTAAAGAAGAGTCTGGGTGTTGTGTCTTCCTTGCTGGTCTAGGTGGGCGCAACAATCAGATTTCTTTCTCATTATGGTACCGTTCATAGTCTTAACATTAATCAATAAAGTTCTGATAAGCTATTAATCCAACTCTGACAGGGTACTAAACAACCTATTATACCACGATACAATAATTGCAAGCTCAAGATTAAAGTGATTTTCACTGTGCTAAATATATCTGGCAGTTGTAAAAGAGTTAGCACTTTCAACCAAATCATTTCTGACATAAGTATACTGTTAAGGTGTCTAAAAATTGTTTTCACAAACTCAAAGGATTCCTGCTAAATTCCAGGGAGTCGAATTGGACCCACCCAAGCATGTAAGATTCACTCCAGATAAATATTATTCAACCTTGCCCTGGTCCCAGGACTCCCTTCCCTCATCTTGGGACCTCCTCGGGAACCCCTCCCTCATCTTAGAATCTTCTCCTCAAATACCAGGAACTAAAAAAATTCTTCTTTCCTAAACTTTTGTCCTCTGCTCTGCCAACATCTTGCCAGGTCTAAGAGAGGCCAGAGAGTTCCATACAGCCTGGACTGCAACGAAACAAGCAGCTACCCCAGAATGTAGCAGCACCCCAGCTTTCCCGGGTCCCCCAAAGATGGTACATGCCCCCTAGGTCAGCTGGAAGCAGTCGTGATGATTCGGCGGCACGTATTCCAGCCCCACCTGACACCTCCTGTTTAATCTCTCACCTTTTTAACAATAACAAGAGGTAGGATTGTTGGTATCCTGTCGTTATGCTGACCCCACCCCCTGACAACTGGCAGGGTATGCACACAGGCATCAGGCAGATACTTAGATGGCTCATAGTGTCTGTGCTACTGGTGTTCTATTCGGAAGTGGTCTCCTGTACCAGCGCATTCAAGGGCACTGCCCACTTTCTCTTCTATGTGGTTCGGTGTGCAGGGTCCTCCCTGCAGGTAGAGCAGGGGAAGGACTGGTCCATCCGGCCTCTCCCCGGGGCTGAGCGGGATGGTAAGTGTCGATGACTCAGACCCTCCCCCCATTAGTTACCGGGGAGAAAAAAACACACACTGAGTCAGGAGTCTGTCGAAGCAGGTTCTCGATTTATTCCAACAGGCAGGAACTTATATAGGACTGAGGTGGGGAATGGGAATCTTAGGATAGGGTAAGGTGACCTGAGGAGTTAAGGGCCAATAGTATTCCACCAAGCAGGCAGGTAGCTAGGCAGGGGGGAATCTTGCATCAGGTCTGGCTGAGTGACCCCCCACGTGGAGGTTACAGGTCAGAGACAGGTCGCCAAACTCTAGCCAGGCTCAGGAGGTTACACTGGGCCTTGAATCCAAGCCTTTCTTAGGTCCAACAAGTATGGCTGGATTTGTGTTGAGGTCTTTGATCCATTTGAACATGAGTGTTGTGCATGGCGATAGGTATGGATCTATTTGTATTTTTCTACATGTCCACACCCAATTATATAAGCACCATTTGTCGAAGATGCTTTCTTTTTTTCATTTTATATTTTTAGCTTCTTTGTCAAAAATCAGGTGTTCATAGGTGTGTGTGTGTGTTGATATCAGGGTCTTCAATTCTACTTCTTTGATCTACCTGTCTTTGTGCCAATACCAAACTGTTTTCAATACTATAGCTCTATAGTAGAGCTTGAAGTCAGGGATGGTGATGCCTCCTGATTTTCCTTTATTGCACAGGGTTGTTTGGTCTATTCTGTGTGTGTGTTTTTTTTTTAATTTTTGTTTTTCCATGTGAAATTTAGTGTTGTTATTTGGAGGCCTGTAGAGAATTGTGCTGGGATTTTGATGAGGCTTGCATTGAATCTGTAGATTAGTTTTGGTAGGATTGGCATTTTTGCGATGTTAATCCTACCTATTCATGAGCACAGGAGATATTTCCATTTTTTGATATCCTCTTCACTTTCGTTTTTCAAAGACTTAAAGTCGTTGTCATACAGGTCTTTCACTTGGTTGGTTAGAGTTACCCCAACAAACCCTGTTTGTGGTTGTCAGTAAGAATTTTTAAAACACAAATATCTAATCGTGTATCTCTTTGTGACCCAACCTCAATGTTTTTCCGTGGATATTAGGCATGGGCATTTTCCAGTCTCCTATGTTTTACTGGAATCAAATGCATTTCACATCATAGTGTGTATAGGCTGAATAACTTCCAACCGTTTGCAGGTATGTGGGGGGTACCAATGTATCACTGTTACTGCTTTCTAGTTAATTTCATATGGCCACAAAGCACACACAGTACAATCTCAGAGCTTTCAGTGCTAAGACTCACTTGGTAGCCCACCATATGGTTGATCAATGCACTTTGTGTACTTACAAATCCTATGCATGCCATATTTGTTAAGTAGGTTTTCTGTTGCTGACACCCAAAGCAACTTGGAGGAGAGGATAGATTTGGCCTGCAGTTCCAGGTCACAGTGCATCACTTCCGGGAAGTCAAGGCCAGACGTGAAGGCTGGCCTGCTTGCTCTTCCATACAGTGTAGGGGGAGACTTTAGGATTATGCCACTAGCCATGCCCACTTTGGGGCGTGGCTAGAGGTGTGTACAGATGTGGGAATAAAAGACTGTACAGGAGAGCCGCACGCTCTTTTTTCGGCTTCCGGTTCTGTGGTGAAAGCTGCTGAGTCACCTTGGCGGCCCATATTCTCTTGTAAGTAATTTCTACAATAAACAGTTACCTATACCCTCAACAAGTGTGCCGTTTATTGTTACAGCAACAATACAGGAATACTTGAACTAGCGAAGTCACTCACAGCCAAGGAAGAATGGCAGAAACTGTGGGACTGTAATGCTTGTTGTCTCACTCGGGTGGGTATATAGCTTGCTTTATGCAGCCTGGGACTACCTGTCCAGGGAGTAATGCTGAGTCAGGCCCTCGTATGTCAATAAACTAAGACAGTTCCCAACATACAAACCAATGAACCCATCTGTTATGGGCAATTTGCCGATTGAGGTTTTCCTCTCAGGTGATTGTAGGCTAGCCCAAGTTGCTGAAGCTGAGAAGGACAGGTGAATGTTGTATAAATATCACTGAGACCTTGATGGGTGATAAAGTCCTGAGATTAAACACCCACAGTGAACTGATTGCTTTTCATTTGCCCGCTTGCAGCAATAATGGAGAAAATATATTAAAATCTGTATAATTGCATCTATCCTTACACCTCTCCTTTCCTGCTTTCTCTGTAAATTACCTGACGTTTTTCAGAATTCCATTTCAGGCTTTTGTGGTGGCATGCATCTATAATCGCAGCACTCAGGAGGCCACTACAAGAGAAGCTTTAGTTCAAGGTCAGACTGAGTTACATAGTGAGTTCAAGTCCAGATTGCTCCATAGTGAGACCACATCTCGGATTCTGTATATATGCTTCTCTTATTGGTTGATGAATAAAACACTGTTTGGCCAGAGAGACAGGAAAATAGGCGGGGCTAGGAGACAAGGAGAATTCTGGGAAATGTAGGCAGAGAGAACCCACCAAAAAACAGTCGCCATGTAAACTGCAAAGGAATAACAAGTC